TCAAGATATAACAATCCTAAATAATAATATACATTAACCTAACATAGGGGCTCCTAGTTTCATAAAGCAAATTCTTCTAGATCTAAGCAAAAGAAATAAATAGTAGAATCTTAATTGCTGGGGACTTCAATATTCCAAAGACAGAATTGGACAGATCATTGAAGCAGAAAATAAACCCTGGATTTAAATGGGACTCTAGAACAAATGGGCCTAACAGACATTTACAGAAAATTCTACCTGACAACCACTGAATATACATTTTTCTCATCAGCACATGGGGCATATTCCAAGATTGATCACATCTCAGACCACACAATGAGTGTCTGTAAATTCAAAAAATACAAATTATACCATGTATCTTCTCAGATCACAGTGGAATAAAAGTCAAAATCAATTCTAAGAGAAGCATTCAAATCTACACAAACTCATGGAAATTAAATAATCTACTACTGAATGATCATTGGGCCTGTGATTAAATTAAGATGGAGATCAAAAGATTTAAACTGACTGACAAAGGGGACATTTTCAAAATATATGCAATAAAGTAAGAGCAGTCCTAAGTGTAAAGTTCATAGTCTTAAATGTCTACATCAGAAAGACAGAAAGATCACAAATTAACAATCTAATGAATAGAGAACCCAGAAATAAAACCATCTACCTACAACCAACTGACCTTAGAGCAGACAACATACACTAGGGAAAGGAAGTCCTATTCAATAAATGGTATTAGGAAAATTAAATAGTCACACGCAGAAGAATGAAAAATGACCCCTATCTCTCATAATATGCAAAAATTAATTCAAGATGGATAAAAGACTTAAATGTAAAGCATGATACCATAAAAATTCTAGAGGAAAATATAGGAAAAAAAACTCTTCTAGACATTGGCCTAGGCAAATAATTTATGAATGAGGCAAACAGAACAACAGGAAAAATAAATAAATAGAACTTAAATAATAATAATAAAAAACTTCTGCACAGCAAAGGAAACAATCAACAGAGTGAATAGATAATCTACAGAATGGGAGAAAATATTTGTAAACTATACATCCAACAAAGAAATACTATCCAGAAACTATAAAGAAATCAAACTAATCAGTAAGAAAACTACAAATAACCCCATTAAAAAGTGGACAAAGACTTTTGAAAGTTTTTTGACAGAAGATAGACAAATGGCCAAGAAACATATGAAAAATGCTCATCATCACTAATTATCAGGGAAATGCAAATTAAAACTAAAATAACATGCCACCTTACTTCTATCCAAATGGCCATTATTAAAAAGTCAAAAAAAAAAATAGATGCTGGCATGGATGTAGACAGAAAGAATGCTTATACACTATTAGTGGTACTGAAAGTTAGTACAACCTCTATGGAAAGCAGTTTGAAGATTCCTCAAAGAACTAAATGTCAACCTCCCATTCACTCTAGTAATCCCACTACTGGATATTACCCACAAGAAATGAAGTCATTATACAAAAATGGTACCTGTATTTGGTTGTTTATCACAGCACAATTCACAATTGCAAAGATGTGTAATCAACCTACGTGTCCATTAATTCATGAATGGATAAAGAAAATGTGGTACATATAATGTGGAGCACTACTCAGCCATAAAAAGGAATGGAATGATATTATTTTCACCAATATACATTAGGATAGATGAAACTAGAGACCATTATCCTAAGTGAAGTATCTCAGGAATGGAAAACATTGTCCTCACTAATAAGTGGGAGCTAAACAATGGATACACATGGGCACAGAGAGCTCTAAAGAACACTGGAAATCAGGAAGTGGGAAGACTGGGAAAGGGGTGGGATAAAACTCACCTATTGTTTTCTGGTGGCAGGCACACCAAGAGCCCCAATTTAAGCATTATACACGGTGTCCATGTAACCAAAATCCTTGTACCCACTTAATTAATATTTTGAAATAAAAATAAATAAATAAAATTAGAAACTAGTATATCCTCTGAGTAATTAAAATATAGTAATATAACTTAAAATATTATAATTATAGTATATGTAATAAAATAAATATTATGTTCATGATAATACTTTTACATAATCAAAATATGAAAAATCTAAATGGTAAAATTTTCAAAATATTTAATGTAATGGAGAATTTAAACACAGATCTATTTCTCAATTATTAATGCATTCATTCTTTCTATTTAAAAATATTTATTCAACATCTGGTAGATGATCAGAGTCTAATGGTGAACAAACAAGTTTGGTCCATTTCCTCATGGAATCTGCAGTTTAATATATTATTAAAAATACATCTTCTATATTGTACAACTGTTATGATATTTGATAAGAACAGATATAGCCTTAAAGTATGTGCAGGAATGGAGAACCAATAGAGAAGAAAGAGAGCAAATGATGAACAAAATAGTGGGCCAATGAGATTGTTCATGAATTGATGAAAAATAATAGTAAGAGTCTTTGATATACAGAGTTAAGGCTAAACTTACTTAGTTAACACAGGAACTCATAATAAGTCATATAGTTAGCGTGACTATTGAGATTTCCAAAAGTTGTTTTTGAATGAGGAACTGTCATCTGGGGAAAGTTACTGCAAACATATTCATACCCCAAACACTATTTTTTGAAGAAAAAAGTCTATCTCAATAAAGAAAAAGCTATGGCTATGTGATAGAGCACAATTGTGTATCTATGTCCAACCATGGAATACTATCTGAAAGTATAATTGCTGGTGGTTATGTTTTAGTAGCTAGCTTTGAAATATATTTCATTTTGTTGATTTTGGAGTTTAAGAGTGGAATATAAGCCTTACCATCATGCAACTTCCATTCTGGGAGAAATAATGAATACTTTTTAAATTATATATTTTAAATTTTAGAACCATTTGCCTATTTTTAAAAAAAAGACATAAGTCAAGTTTTAAAGATGACTACATTGCTGATAAAGAAAAAATAAAACAGGCAAGGCAAAGAAAGTCAAAGGAATATAAAGAAAGAAAATAAATACATGGTTTAGTAAATAAAATGCATACATAAAGTTCCTTATGAACTTACAGATACAAATTTGACTCTACACTTAGTAAGAATCAAAGTAAGGAAGGAAGCAGGCTATGAGATTCATTGTGTCCATAAATTAAAAATTAAACAGCAGTTACTCAGGAAAAACATAATTATCCTTAATATTAAAAATAAATTAATGGCATGGATCCTCTTCCAGAAAACACTTTTGTAAGACTATGGATGATCACAATGAAGTTATAGTAAACATAGTTTTATAGAGTTCTTCTATTTTCTTTGTTTTTTAATATCATCCTTTTGTCAGCTAGATCTATTTGTGACAGGCCCCTTGCCCTTTTCCTGGTCCAGCCTATAATACAGGGACCGAATCCATTCAGTATGAGTTTTCCAGGCTCTGTGTCAGCAGCCTCCTGCTGGGATCAACCAATGGGACAACTGTCAGGACAAATAGGGGCAGGAAGAAGTTGAAAAGCTGGGATATTTCTCTCTATCTTCAGTAGTGTTTCCAGCTAAGACTATGTCACCCTCTGCACTTGCATATGTAGAAAGTATCAGCTCCCACCATGTTACTCCCACTCTCTTTGTCCCTCCAACCCAGGTTTGGGAATAGCCTCATTTTGTTGTGAAGCTCTGGGCTGCCTCAGTATCCCCTGATCAGCTTCTCAGTTCTTCATCACAAATGGAAGCATTTCCCTATTTTCAGGGCCCTCTGCTTTAAATATGTGAGAATTTTCTGTTGTCTTCATTGAATCCTGACTGATACAATCATTCATTATAAGACAATGGCATATTTTTCACCTCAATTAAATAGGAACACTTTATATTGGGAAATATCATAGAAAGTGTTATTACCTGCATGGTTTATGTCTGGGGATGCTTATACACTATTGAATATAAGACACAGAAGGGTGTAGGAAACACATTACTATCAGTCACCCAGGCATGATCTTCAGGAAAAGCATTAGAATTCACCAACACCAATACACCTGATATTTTAGTACATTGAAATAAATGATGTCTCTTCAGTGAACATGGTTCACATAGACATAGACATGCACACCTGCCAACATTTCCGGCTGTAATAAATCAGTATAACCTTAAAAAATATCCTGGAGAAGTAGCACATCTACTCTATCTACCTGTAAACAACATACATGATTCATTTATGACTGTCTTTTTTCTGCAAATATGGAAGATACATGTGGAAGGTAATATCCAGCTTTCCCCTTCCACTTCCTCACTTTGCTAAACATGTAAACTAGGAAGCCCTTTACAACTCAACATGTACTCTAATGATATAACAAACATTTACACGTTATCCACCATTCTATGACATCAGTGAAGCATTTCCCCATAAACTCAGCTTAAGGCATGAATAAGAATATTTTCTTATAATTTGGCTTAAAAATCAACACATTCTGGTCAAAGAGGTCACATGCGCCATCACCTTAAAGACAGAGATGAGCTTTTGGAACTGTCCAATATATAAAACCCAGTATGTTTAAATAGAAAGCACTCGTTGGGAAGCTCAGGGATGCAGACCAAACACAATCAGTGCACATTTCAGTAACTGAAGACAGTTACTTCAGCCCATAAAGCAGGTTTATTTTATCCTGGCATCATTAAAATTTTCAATCATATGGCTAATGCCCTAGTTTTTATTACATGTAAATCTGGCAATCTTTGCATCTCAATTTGGCCTAACTGGGCTTCCCAAGAGGAAGACAATACATTGGCAGTAGTGTTTTAGTCTTTATAATATTTATGATTCTTACTATTAATTAATAAAAATGCATCATAAATTTGTATTGCAGTACCATAAATCTAAAAATATGCGCCCCATCTTTGAAGTTTCTATTCTTGGTGTGCTGGAAAGTTATGTTTCTCAGCTTGCAAAACTGATTTAAACCATGGCAAAATCACCAGTTCAATACCCTTTATGAGACATCTTTCCCAAGAAATGAACCCAACCAACATCCATTTCTTCTACACCTACCTGAAAGACTTCTTAATGTCTTCTGCTTGGATTGTTGTGAGAATGTCTTGGTATAACCGAAGATAAACTGTTCCTGAAGATGTTGCATCTGAAGGGCAATTTTTATGTGCATAATAACCTATCACAATTCCAAAAATAAATAAAATAGTGGCTGTGCAAAGTATTTTTGAAAGGTAGCAAAAGTTGCAGCGGTTGCTCTTTGGTGCAGGTCTTGCATAATGGGTAATGTAGTCAGATTCTTCTTGAAGTCGCTGGAACCTTCCTTTTGGTGAAATTGCTGGTTGAATGGAATCAAGATTGAGGTCTGCAGTCTCTGAGTGCCCCAGGTTCTGGTTCTCAGCACTGTCTAGCTGGAATTGGTCAAAACCAGGCTCTTCCAGTTCCTTCTCCATGTCCCACTCTAAGTCAAGGGCAGTAGCTTGAAGGTCATCATTGTCTAAGAACTGTGAATGTCCTGGAGCTCTTTGATCTGCATTGACCTTCTGATAGGCCATCTTCTTACCTGTGAAAATAGAGAAATATGTTTTTTTAAATAATAAGCAATTTAAAAAAACTCACAAGGTGAAAAAAAAAAAAGAAAAGAAAAGAAAAGAAAATCATACGGGTGCCCATAAAATTTCAGTGATTATAATTGGAGGAAATACATTCTGCCTATAGAATGTCATATTTTATTTAATTATTTAATCTCGTGATTTTCTGTAGATATTACTATAGGAAAGGAAGACAAAAAATAAAAGTAGAAGGTACTTGGTGAAAAAGCTATGAGAAAACATAAAATTACACACACATACACACACAATCTCTGAAGTTCAAGAGAATAACAAAAGTCACAAATACATAATTGCGCTGGAGAATAATTAACGTATTACAATCAAGGCAAAATTAAATTCACACATATAAGAGCAAAAGCAATAAAGCAATGATTTGGTAAGTTAAAGAGAAAAAAATGAAAGACCTTGGGATGAATACATTGCCAAAGCTAGTTTTAAAAACTCAAATTAAGGATAAGAATAGGCAGAACAAATAAATGAAGTACCAGATCTACAGAAATACAACAAGCAAAATATATTATGTCACACAGTCATAAATTACATAAATTACTAAATTAAAAGTATTGGAAAATGTTAAGGCTATCAAAGTGAATCAAGATGTTCCACAGTAATCCCTGTGCTTTGAGAGGCTGAGGCAAGATGATCATTTGAGGCTAGGAGTTCAAGACCAGCCTGGGCAATAGGGTGAGACCTTGTTTTAACAACAACAACAAACTATATACATAATTAACTAGGTGTGGTAGTGTGCACCTGTAGTCCTACCTGCTCCAGAGGCTGAGATAGGAGGATCTTTTGGGCTGAAGAGTTCAAGGCTGCAGTGAGCTATGATCATGCCACGGTCTGAGTGACAGAGCAAAACTATGTCTCTTAAAAAATGAAATAAAAGTAAAAATATAAAAAAAGATGTTCCAAGGAATTAGTGACAGGAATTGGCCTGGCTCAATAAACTTTAAATAAAAGTCTGAGATGGCATCAATCCAAAGAGGAAAGCCTTTTGCCAGCCTAGGAGAGTTTGGCTTCATAACCTTGCTACAGGAGTGGCAGATGGAGGTTCTTCTCCCCTGCACAGTTTTGGATGGCAGCTTGTTGCATCCTGCAGAGTGGTATTAGGATAACTGGGCTAATTAACTGCAAGTGGTCTTAAGTCTGTATTTAGTAACACACTGGTGTACTATGGAAGCAGATTAAGAGTATTTATATTTAAATTTCCTGTGTATTAGATTTGTCACCCCAGCTGGACTCTAAGGTCCTTCACTATGTTTTATGATTTTTATGTATCCCACTGTGGTAGGTAAAGAACAGAACTCAACTGATAATTGATTAGCTAATTGCCTTAGGGATAGTGGTTGACAAGTAAATTCTGACGAAAAAGATACAAACAAGGACTTCATGAAAGGGGGTAGAATTATGCACAGATTTATGCCTATATGTAGGTCCAATCCTGGCTAGCAGAGGCCCATAAAATTAAATTATTCTGAATTTTTAAGATAGTTAAAATATAACTATTAAATTCTGCCAAATAAAAATTATAACTTTGACTAAAATTTCCATATGCTACCTAATCATATGCTCTAGGATTGATTCTTAACTGGAGTTGACTCAATAAAGATAAGTATCTAATATATGTCAGGCACTGGGACAGGCAATGAAGACAAAGATAAGTGGTTTCCTAATCCCCAAGTAGGGAACAATTCAATCAGAAAAATAAATATATAAACAAGCAAGGAAGTAAATTAAAATATGTAAAGCAGTAGGAAAATTCAGAGGTGATTGATTCTAGCAGATAATGTGGGGGGAAATGATTATTCAAGAAAGTGATCTTAACCCAAATGCCCATCAATTCATGAGTGGATTAACAAAATGTGGTATATATATGCCATAGAATACTACTCAGCCACAAAGAAGGATGACTTAATACCTTTTGCAACAATATGGATGGAACTGGAGACCACTATCTTAAATGAAGTATCTAAAGAATGGGAAAACAAATACCAGATATACTCACTATTAAATTGTAACTAACCGATGAGCACACATGTGCATAGACCGGAGTAAAACTCAATGGAAATCAAGTAGCAGGTAACAGGGGAGGAGGGAATGGGCGAAAACCTACCTAATGAGTACGATGAATTATATCTGGATGATGGGCACACTTTTAACCCTGACTTGAGCATTATAAAAGTGATCCATATAACCCAAAACACTTGTATTCCCATAATACTTGAAATTTAAAAAATACATGATCTCTGAGTTACTTCTGTTAAGAAGGAAAGTGAGAAGAGGGCACCCAGGCAAAGGAAAATTTATAAACAGGAAGAAGGAATAAAAATGGCTCATTTGAAAAACCTAGATTGGTATGCTATGGCTGAGGATGGAGCACATGGACCAAAGATGCTGAGAAAAAGCTAGGAAAAGTTGACATTGGGCAAAAAAGTTAACTTCCCTGCAACCCAGGGTCTACATATGTGAAATGGACATGATAATATTAATATAAACCTCATAGACCACATAGTGTTGTCATTAGGGTTCGTTGAGACAGTGAACCTAAAACATATATTGAATAACATGTATTGGATAGGCTGCATAAGTTAGAATAGACATTCTGGTATTAGAGGAGCTAGAACTATCAGTGATTGTTGGAAGAAATGAAATGAGTTCAAAAATGCAGAAGAAATTACATAATTTTGTGAGAATTGTGGTAAAGGTGAGGAGGTTGCATAATATTCACACACACATATACTATAGTAGTTTTTTGCTTTTTTATACTTAGTCTATACATAGAGACTAAAATATAAAAATTACCATGATTTACTAAATGTTATCATGCAGTTGTTATTTTTGGTTTGTATTAAAACATCAGAAATGGCTCTGCATACGGTTTCTTTTTCCTCCCAACCTCCTTCTTTGCCTCCCTCCCTTCTAGCTTGCCCTTGTTTCCAAAATCGTTCAAGAAAGTGCATTTGAATTCTGTCTTTGGTCACATTAGAAATGGAGTAACATATGGAAATTAGTGATAAATATTCAGATAGGTTAGGTGATGGCTGATGAACTGAAAGAGAAAAAAACAGAATCACACTTGGTTTAAAGAAAATAGTTAAGAAAAAATGAGAGGAAAGGAAAAATCGAAGGTAGTGAAGAATCTCTAAAGTACATGATTCTAATTCTGTCACATTACAAAAGAGGAAACTGAGGTCCAAATTTGAATAACCCTGTTAGAATGGAGGAAAGGGATGTTTACATACTCCTTAAATGACTTATGTTTTTTAAAAAAATATAACTAAAAAGTTGGTGATAAACTAATGTGAAATACCTCAGAAATCCACTTATTTTAATGTGCATTATAAGCTGCATTTTTCTAACACTGGTCAATTCTTCTCTTCTTTGGCTTAAACATCAATAAATTGCTGCTACCTTGACATGATATTATGATATTTACTTCTTCAAACTGTTCAACTATGCATTATAGATTAATTTACTCAGATATTGTCACAATGCAGTTCTCTAGATTTTCTTTTCTCCCATTTTAATGAATCAGTCTGTCTAAAGTTTTTACTGAATTGTAGAGCATGGTTTATGCTAAAGAAAGACTTAGCACACAGAAGTGACTACAGAAATGTGAGATCTCTAATTCTGACCTCTAATACAAACATTCAAAGTCATTTCTCTATAAATCATTTAAAAACCAACTGCAATGATGAGGCAGAGTTTTCATCTTTAGCCCGACAATAGGCATTTCATCACATGCACATCAGCAATTTAACGCTTTTCAAACATCAGACAGAGCCATCAATTAGAATGTAATGCAGATACAGATATTAACTCCTCAGCATGATGGATATCTGCCTGACACCCTTACTACCACTTTTGGATTCATTACACATTAATAAATTTTCACTAAATTCTATTTTCCAGGAAAGCAGTGTCTGGGTCAAAGGTAGATGAAATAACTTGATATGACAAAATTCAAAGTATTAATATTCAGGAAAATTACCAATGAAATGAGTATGTGATAACATATACAATCAAGCATTTTAATTACTTACTTGGTAAATCAATTATATATATTATATATTATATTTTACATATTAAATATATGTAGATATAATATATCTACATATATAATAATTATATATAATATATACTTATGAATATATATTATACGAATATATATTATATACAATTTAGTCATCAATTCCTTTAAAATTATCTTACCTTAAGGAAAATATTATAGTTTTTTTTTTACAAAAATATAACATAAAATCTTGGCCCTGATGGTTTTGTTTCTCTTAAAATATATATAAAATGAACTTATGAAAAATAAAATGGAGTAACAAACTATCAAATAAATAACAATTTGATAACATATTCAGTTTTGAGACACTATAAATTATTCCATGAGTCCCACAAGAAATGTAGCTATCTTTAAAATACCTTTACCCTATGACAGGAGAATATATCACATTTCATTTTACCAGAATTTTCAGATTCCCTAGTAAAATGAAAATTTTATATTCAAAGTGAAATCTTCAGCAAAATTGGCATGTCTGAGATATGATCATATAATCATGCCACTCACATTTCATATATTTTCTATTACTGATGTGCATACTTCAGTTAATTTATATTGTTATATTACTTTAAGGCTACCCCACATGAATGATTAAAAAAAGTACATGTAGTAAATTTTAGAATCTACAACATGAATCATTCTCTAAAAGAGATGTACTTTGGTATAGACAAGGTCATAGAAACTTGTGACATTTCTTCAAATGGAAATATCTGTAGTACTCTTATATTCTATATTGTGCCACTTGGTCTGTTTTATAAAATGCAATTATTATAAAAAAGTATAATATATCCTCCATGTTTTCAACAGATCTTATTCATTTATGTCAGATCTTTTCCCACCTAGGCCTACATCTGAGAGCTAAACTCTTTTCAAAATTCGACA